CTTCTGGCCCAAGTTACTAGAAAATCTTTGGAAAGAGTAGTAATGTTCACAATAACTAGGTTCTGTGCATAAAAATCAATTTAAGGGCAGGATCAATTTTGACCACTGGCTGCAACAAGAAAACAGTGGCCAGCAAAGTTCTAAGCACAAGGTTTCTGCTTTTCAATTGTTAGCATAAATCATACCACCACAAATAAAGTTTGGCCATGAGAGGAAGCTTTTTTGTATGGGTGAAGAAAATGTGTATTTATGTATTTTTAAGGAAAGCAGAGATGGAGGTGTGTGAGGGGAATCAAATGGCTCTGCCTGCTTACTCTTTTGCTGCTTCTTTTTCTATCATGTGAGGAAGATGATGTCCCCAGTTAAAAGGACAGGACAGTAACATGGGGTATAAAAAACTTCACTATCATTTCCAAAATGAAAGTAACGCAGTCCATCAAACCTTGAATACTTCACCAGACAGATATGGTAAGATGAACTGAAAACTATTTCTTTTTTTTTTTAATATTGTAAGTATGATGTTAGTCAATCTATATAAGATACTTTTTTAAAAAAAACCCCACACTCCAATAAAAACAAAATCCAAATCTAATTCTTTGGGAATACTTGTATAAATAAAGCAATACCTAATTAACAATTAGTACACTCTTTACAAGGTGCAAAAACAAGGTCCTGTGTGGGGAAGGCTAAATTTTAATTCCCACCTAGCAGTCACTCTGAATACTTTGTAGGTCAAGTGCCCTAAGAGCATTGGCTTCTGCTGCCCATTTTCAGCAATACATTGTTCTCTCTGGAGAAGGTGGTTTGTGAGTCTAAACACTGCAGTGGAAAACAGTGGCACTGAAGGCAGAAGCAAAAAAAAGACAAACTTTGGAAACAGGACTTACTGCAGTTAACTGCGAAAGCCGAGGCAGCCCACTAGGGCTGGCCTCATCTGAGGGCCCCGTGGAGCGCTGCGGTCAAAGGTGCGCCTCCTCGCAGCGCGGCGCACGCCCCGACTCTCCCTTTAAATGATGACTCCGGCCTCACAGGAATTCCTCTCCCCGGTGAAGCGCTGCTTCCCCGTCGCCGAGTGGATGCCGGCCTCCAGCTGCTGGTCTTCAGGACACACAGGATCCGTACAGTAGTTAGCAGGCAGCATGGTCCCACTGCTTCACATTAATGCCAAACGCCAAACTTGGACCAGACTTCCTTGATGCCCCCAGCCCTCCCCCCGCACTGTATAAACAGAACATGTCATTCGGTTTTCAGCTGACTCTAGTGCTGTTATCGATTTATAATTTGCGTGAGATTTTACATAGGTGCAAACATTCCCATATGATGAGCCAAGGACTACAGAGTGCAAACAACATTTTCTAGGACTCGGTCAGGGTAGTATCTGACTTGATAAGAGAACGACGGGGATTAAGCACGTTGGATTCTGAATAACCAGACGAGTTCAAATGCTCCTTTTTGTTCATAGTGTTCCATCACTTTTTTCCTCTGCAGCAGTTTTAATGTCAGGAACTAGAATAACAGTGATAACATGGGGATGAGTTCAACATGGGTTTGAGGGGGCATCGGTAGAAAGCTCATCTGATGGAATTAAATAAATATATTTCCAATACTTGAGGGGAAAAGGCCATCAGGATTATGAGAGTATGACACAGCCTTTAAAAAAGGGGGGGGGCTTTAATTAATTAGCAATTTTGATCTAATATCTGGAAACTAACCTAATTTGGGGTTAAGAACCTGTATCTTCAATGTGGCTGTAGGACATTTTTCTTTTTCCTTATCTCATTATAGTTTATCAAACAAATAAAAACTTAAAAAGGATGTCTTACAGTATTTTCTTTCTTTCACTCAGCTTCTTAGAGCTGCAGCTTCAGTTACTATTATATACTCTACACACTTCAAAATTACATAGGAAAATACCCAGAATAACTAAATAAATAAAAGGCTAAAGAAAACTGGAACAGTACTGCGTCTCCATCTGAGACTGATATCCACTTCCAGCATCACAGAGAAGGGCTAGGACAATTTTTTTTGTTTTTCAAAAGATTTATATACAGGTTTGAATCCAGAAATTAAGGTTAAAAGCATAAATATCGATAATTTCAACTAGATTCAGAATGGTTTCAGAAAGATATGATACAACAATTTAGAATAAAACAAAGCAGAAGAGCATCATATTTTGGTTTGCTTGAGATATACATAAGGTGCAACAACTTTTTCTCGAGGATGCTTGTGGGACAAATGTTAGTGTAGATGGTGTTTGCTGGCAGATTAAGGTACACACCATAGCAATATGATTTTCCAAAATAAAAAAGAATGCAAGAAGTGAAATGAAAATGATAAATGGGGGGGGGGACTACATGTTGGTCTGAAATACTTGTGCTAACAAATGTTATTACCTGAAAACACCAACACCCCTCTCCAGTGGATTCAGGGCATGAGAAAAGCACTGTTTCTGAAATCAAAACTTTGCTCAGAGAAACAACAAGGCGAGTGTCTAGAGGACTATAAAGCTTTGCAGGATTTCTGCTACTCTCAGTGCCTAACCGCTTAAAAATTAAGCATTTCTACAAAAAGTTTTTTTTTTTTAAAGTATCTTGAAAACAGTCATATCCAGTAGGCTGCCCTCCACCCCCACCCCTGCCTAAGGGAAAAGCCACTGAGGTTTAGGAAAAGCAGATCAAGTAAGATATATTAATCACATAGAAAAAGGTAATCTTCTGTTTCGCTTCTTTTTAAAAAAAGGTCCCATGAATATACAGCAATCTCTTAAGGAACTCTAGTGAAATGTAATCGGAGGACTGGAAGGAGGGGGCTCCGGCAAAAATAGATCTATTCTAACGTGTTCTAGAGAATAATAAGTTAGTACCATTGTCAAGGTGCATGTTCTGCACCAAAAAAATTTTTGTTGATTTTGAATTTTTGGGGGATTTTAGCTAATAGTTTTTAAATCACTGCTAGCAAGTGGTCCAAAGACTCCAACAGCCACCAACACTAGGACCCAGCAATTTTTAAACATTTACTTTGTGTTCTGAAATTTAGAAAATATTAATAAAACAGCATCATAGTAAAAACATTATGCTAAAATCTGGGGCTGCCCACCTGGTTTATTTCTATGTGAATGGGGTTAAGTTTTTAATCTCTGATTAATCTTACTTACTACCTTCCATCTTCCTCCATGTTCACAAGGAATATGCATTTTTGAGGACACCATTCCAAAGTCCTGCTGCCGTCTTTAACTGCTTTAAAGAAAAACCCCCATTCTCTCTATCCTTTTTCAATTCTGTTAGTATGATGTACATATTTTCCAGCACCGAAACCTAAGTAGTATCTACAACCGTGAAAAGCTAAACCTAGTCAGTACTAATAGAGTCATTTTTTGTATGGCTATTAGGTCAAATTACGATTAGAAAAAAAAAATCATCATTACAATTCAGTCAAGTATAAATAAGAAAGCTAGATAAAACCTTGTAAACTGTCACCATTTAGAGAGCTAATTCAAAAGCTTCAAACTCGAACTAACACTATCAAAATTCCGCCAGTTTGAAAACCAATAAAAATTATTGCTGGAATCCAACAATTAAAATTTGGTAGTTTGTGCTGTGATGCAAGAGTGGGGAAATCCTTTGTGCTATGGAACAAATACCCTGTAAAATGTGTAGCCGCTGACTAATTTTGATTTATCACTTTGCATCTGTTGCTAAGAAACAAGACACTGTGAACGTCAGCCGGTGGAGTCAATATGTTGAATGTTCTAAGCCAGTTAATCCACTTGGCACTGGCATATGTATGGTTGGTTTTATGTTCAAAAGCAACAAAACACAAAAAAGAAACAGGAAACTTGCAGGTGGACCTATGACTGCGAGTCCCACTGTGATCAGGCACACCTCCCTCACCATTTACTCAATACCTCCGTAATCACAAAAACTCAAAATGGCTCTAAAAATCTGCTGTGCCAATTAGGCTGTGCATAGCAACTGCCACCCGTCCAGTCTGTCTGGGATGGATGTAAAAGGTCTGCAGCTCAAAGTCCACATGAGGTGAGTGTCTTCAATGTGTTCAGAATAGTGAAGTAATACTAAGGTCACTTCTGAATAATAGTTTCCTTTTTTTTGTCTGTATGAACAATCCATTGGTTACTCAGACCCCTGTGTAAAAAATAAAAAGAATCCTCAAGGCATGAAAACATTTGTAATCTGCAGGACTTTTCCCCTGTCTGGGAAAATATTTGCCACAATTTGCCCCAAGCAAATTCTTCTTGGTCACTCAAGGCGAAGAAAAAAAAAAAATCCAGCTTGCAAGAATTGTAATTTTTTTTCCCTCTCTCTTTTTGCCAGCAAACTACCACTCTGGTGGCAAATATAAAAGTGCAGAATATAGGGACCATGAGGCCGAGCATACACCGCTAACAATGGTACATCTGCCTGCCCGTGCTGCTTGGGAGTCTTTGAACAGGCATTTTAATATTATTCTACAATATAAATGTAGGTATAACCTATTATATAAACCATCTTAGAACTTAAATCTCCATGTACAAAAAAGACTAGGAATATCTAATAATAACTAGTGCAGTGCGTCAGTTTTTGCTTTTTCTTTTTTTGTTGGTTTTTTGTTTTTGTTTTGAAAGAATAACTAGGTAATATACGAAACTAGTTTCACACTCTCTGGTTGGTAAAAGAGATGCTGGATGAGCTACAGTAAAGGCAGCCTTTTACCAAGTTACCACCTGTTACCATCAAAAGCCTTCAATAGAAAGCAAAGGTCTAGATCATCCCGTTTCTGCTCAGTATCAGACAGATCACATCACCCTCAAAGATTCTGGGTTCTGAGAGAACAAAACTGGCCCAGGGTGCCAACTTCTGCTTCAAGTGAATCTGGGCCACGCAGGGCAAACGAGCAGTTGTTTGCAGCCTCTATTTCCCACCACACGGACTCACTAGCATCCCTCGGTAAAGACAAGGCTAGGGTAGTAGGTAAAGCACAATGTTTTACAATTAAAGGGCGCGTCACTGGTCAGCGCAGGAAATAAGTACAGGAGCCTGGGCCATTTCCTTCGGCTGTCCATCATGGGTGAGTGGAGCTGACCTCTGACCTCTGCAAAACAAGAGGAAAAGACAGACAGACATCACTTACTGAGAGGATGTTATTAGAAATAAGAGAGCATGATGACTGACCAGCAAAAGCTTTCCCATGCATCTTGTTTAACAGATGCTACTGACGTACTCCTTATGCCTTTTAATTAAAACTGCTCTAAAGCATCTTTACTTTTCTTTTTTAAGGGTTTCTTACCTCAGTTCCTCTCACACAACTCAACAATACTCTCTGCCCTCAAACAAGCACCTCCACTATGTAGAGACAAAACCCGAGGCACCAACAAATTTGGGGAAATTCCCTAAGAAGTGGAAAACTTTCAGTCCAGGGTGATGGTTTCAGGATGGCAATATTCCTTTGGATCTTCTTCTATTAAAAAAGGACACATTCCTTTCCTTGACTTGACCGGGGGGAGGCTGTCCTATACTAACTGATAACCTTCAGACTCATTTCTGGATATACAATAATAGGCCCAGTGTCAAAACTGAAGGCCAGTAAAAGGGTCGGCCTCTGCAGAGAGAGGTGAACTCTGACTGAATGAATGAATGAAAAGGAAACAGTGACGCCCTCCTGATGAACGAGAAGTCTCAAAGGCATATGGAGGGAGAGTGTGCAGGGGAGGAGGGGAGGACCAACTCTGAATTTCAGCGTGTGAGAAAGTCAGTCATCCTGAGCCAAAATCTACACATATGGAGACGGAACTCTAGACAAGACTTTAAAAATTCATATCATTTGGATTGGATCTACATCAAATAGTCTATTTCTCATTTTTTTTTTTAATGAGTAGGAAGAAAAATGCCACTTGCTTCATGGTTATAAGAACATTTCTTGGTAGCATCTACAGAGCCTCTCATCCTAAAAGACAGGATCAGACACACCTGTGACATTTCCTAACAGGCTTCCCAAGCCTCAGCGAGGCACATGCACTGCTGAAAAATACAGGGGCACGCAGCAATGTCTTCACTGGATTGACCACTTCAATACAGTATCTTTAGATTATGCGAAATAAGAGGAGCAATTTTAAAATTCAAACTGTGTCTCTCCATAACTATATCCAAGTTTCTGTCTCTTGATGCACAAAAAAGAAAATACATACAGATATCTATAAATGCAACATTTTGGGATTTCAGAATCCAAGGATCACTTAGCTTAAGATATCAGGAATTTTTTAGAAAAACAAAATATGTGTTATAATCAAACCTCTGGATTAATCTGTTTATTCATGTGGGGATGCTAAAGAACCAACTCTTCAATATGTTCAACTCTTTGTTCAAGGAAGATGAAATTAAAACTCTATTTTTTATTTTAAGGTTGAATATGTAACAATATTACAAAAGCCAAAAATATTTTAATAAGTATTGGAAAAGGAAACATACAAAGAAAAAAAAGTAAAAGATGAAGAGTACAGTTAAAAAAAAAAGACATCGAGGGGAGAGAGAAATTGGGTTGATAGCCCAGCCCTACTCCAGGGGATCTTCCTGACCTAGGGATCAAGCCCTCATCCCCTCCATCTCCTGCGCGGGCGAGCGGATTCTTTCCTACTGAGCACAAGGAGAAAAATGGTGTGCCCCCACCAAGTGTGGGCTCCAGCTCCCGGGGGCAGGTCAAGCGACGACAGTCCTCGGGACCCTCGAGGGCAGGACAGACGCTTGCATAAGCAGCACTGCTGAGCAAATGCTAAGACACAGGAGTTCAAAGACGTGGATTCAGACCCTGACTTGGTTTAGCTGTGTGCTCCTGGCGAGTTAATTAAGTGCCTGTACCATCATTAAAATGTAACTAGAAAAGAGGCGCCTGGCAGAGTTGATTTTAAGAGTAAACTTAATGAAGTCTGTTCTCATAAAATTTCTAGTGAATAAATAGGCTCTCATCAAAGGTAAATTTCAATTTCCTACTTCCTGTGTTTTGTAAAACTGTTTTTCTACGTTGGGTTTCTGAACCCGGTGTTAAGACTTCTTGTGACAAGAATGCAAGTAATATATATTTACCCCTAATTCTGTGGACCACCTTCTAAATTATGAACTAGGTGATGCCGAAGCAGTAATTAATTAATGTGTAACCCAGGTACAATTACATTAAGCCTGTCCATGGAGGGAAGGCTGGTAACTCTGCTTTAACAGGTAAGGGCTAGAGTTACAACTAACATTCCCCAGGAGAAGCTATCTTTCTGGATGTTAAGGACACTAACCATTTGTTATGTTGATAGTGAAAACTCTAATAAGCAATATTATTCTTTCCAATGGGATGTGTTAAACAAAAAAGAAGACCCTCTACTCAAATCATTTTTTCCTGTGCCTCTTAGCTAACTTAGGTAGTCACTCATTCATCTGCCCATCCCCGAGTGGCAGCTGGTCTAAGAGGGGCGTGTACACAGATTGTGCAAGATGTCAGGAGGAAGACAGACAAGAGGACAAGGGACAGACGGACTGAAGGAGGCGCAGCAGTTCCCTGGGGAGGAGGACGTGCAAAGGCAAGAAGTGGGCTTATGTGGATGGGAGGAAGCGACTGCACATGAACCCGGGGCAGCAAGGGAGGCGGAGCTGAGAGGGGCAAGGCTGCCCTTTCCCCGGCACTGCAGCGGCGGGGCAGGGCGGGGCGTGGGGGCTAACAGCGCAGAGGCCTGTCCTGTATTGCTCAGAGGGGACGCTGGTGCCAGCGAGGGCGACTGTGTGGGAGCTCCTCCGAGCTCTGAACCATCGCCCCCTCTCCGAGTTCTTATATGACCTCTTATTTCCACAATTTATGAGGGCGCTTCAGAACACTCAGGCACATATTTAATTCTTTGTGCATGCATTATGAGTTTGTCCTCTGTGCTCGACTGTGAAACGCCACGAGTAGGGAAGTGTCCGTGTGTTATCCCCCTCAGAGACCTGAGCAGATTTTAACAATGCCTGTCACCATTCACTTGCTATTAGGCACTTGCAGTGTACACATGAAAAGGAATTTGACTTCTTGAAAATGTCTAGAGGCTATTTGTGAGGAAGCAGGAGAACTGCAATATGATACGTAAAGAGCAAGACACGAAGAAAACTTTCATCAGGGCCTCCTGCCCTGCAGACTCCGCCTGCAAAGCAGGAGACCCCAGTTTGATTCCTGGGTTGGGAAGAACTCCTGGAGAAGGGACAGGCTGCCCACTCCAGTAGTCCTGGGTTTCCCTGATGGCTCAGCTGGTAGAGAATCTGCCTGCAGTGCGGGAGACCTGGGTTCCATCCCTGGGTTGGGAAGATCTCCTGGAGAAGGGAAAAGTTATCCACTCCAGTATTCTGGCCTGGAGAATTCCATGGACTCTATAGTCCATGGGGTCGCAAAGAGTCGGACACGATGGAACGACTTTCATTTCCTAAACCTGGATGTGAAAGAGCATGGTGCCCGGCCGGTGGGTAAACAAGTTGGGCTGGATTTTAAGCAATTTCGGTCTGAAGACTGAAAACCTAAGAAAGGAACTCATCTGCGGGTGATCCATTTTGAATAAAAGTATGAAATACCTGAATTTACAAAAGACTTTCTTACCTTCCCAAATGTTCCATTAAACATCAGAACACTCAATTATATACTTAGAACTTAATAACCTTCTGTGGGGCTTTACTGAGTTCAAAAGGCTTTCACATCTGATCTCGTCTGATTCCTTACAACTGTGTGATTCTTCGGGGATATCGTTATGCTAAATGGAAGATGAGAAAACTGAGGCCCAGAGAAATAAATGACTAACAAACACAGGTTGCTTAAGATAAATCCAGGCCTTGTGCCTGCCGTGAGTCAGATGGTGAGATGCTCTTTTTCCCAAACCACACAGTTTTCTTCCGCTGGAACCACCACCGCCATCCTCGGTGGGGGTGTGGCCAGGTGTAGGCCTGGGACACCAGGTTTATTCTATAGGACATCTCTATGAAAGGAGAACCACTGACACAGAAGAAAAAAACAGATAGGGAAGTGAACGCTCTGGCTCAAGGTCTTCCTTATAGTTTGCAGTTGACAGACGGGGCACTCAAACCCAGGTCTGAGGCTTGCCTCCACAACTCCAATGATTAGATAATACTGCTTCCCTCTGCTCTCTCAGGACTCTTCAGAAGAGCTTAGTCACAGAATAAACTATATTCAAAGTAAAATTCGTGGCGGGGGCCTACTCCCTTATATTTTCCCGCACGGCTAAATAGTAACATGTGGTAAACAAAAGTCTCCCGAACCCCAATCATCGTGGGAAGTATCACCAGTCACATCACAAGGGGTGAGCCGGGTCTGGCACTACGGTCTCCAGCCACGTTCTGTGAAAGGGGGTGAAGGCGCCCCCAGGCCCCTGCCCACCGCTAACCTGTGCACGTTTTCCATGGCGGCCACTTCGGCCAGCGCGGCGAGGCTGAAGAAGGCGGACACGGCCGGCATCTCTGGGGTGCTGCTCCGCGTCTCCGCGGCCTCCCCGGCGTGCGGGCACGCGTCGCTGCAGCCTGTCTCAGTCACCTTAGCGAGGCCCCTCTGCAGCTGCTCCCGGGGCTTGTCATCTGCAGCGGAAGGGAAACTCATCATGAGAGAGGATCGCTCTGTGTCCTCCGGAGAAGGGACACGGAACACTCAGTGTCAGACAATGCGAAATGAGCTAATATGCTTTCCTGCTCACTTCTGCCATCCATCGAATATTAAGGCTGTTACAGAATCTCTTCTTCCATGGGAATAAACTCTTTTATTGAGCTCAGCCGCAACCACGAGCAGAACCATGCCCTGAAGCTGAGCAGAGGAGCTGTGTTTTATCCAAGGTCAAAGAATAGGTCAGTCTTGGAGAGAGGTGGGGAAAATGGGCCTTGGTCAGAGTAAAACCCAAGGGACTTCTGCAGAGGGGCCAGGGGATGCTGCAAAATGGCCCTGCAAAACTCAACTGACCACATACTCTGATGACGCCACAGCATGCCTACTATGCATGTTGGGCATTCCTATGCTGAGTTACCAATACTTAGAATGGCCTAAACTCATCCCAGTGAGATGTTTGTTTTGAAGACCTTCTGCAAGGGAGACAAAGGGCCTGCTGGTATTTGTGAAGAGGTGGCCAAAATGCTACACCAATCCATGTGCTAGAAATGATTGCACTTCATTATGCACCCCTTACAAATGAGGAGGAGAGGGAGGAATCTTCATCATTTTTCAAAAACCAGCTTACCTATAGAAAGTAATTGATATAAAGGCTATAAATGTCATATTAGAACATGACAGTGCTATATGCTTTTCCACACAAAAGGGAATGTTTTCTAAAACCTTTCACTCTTCCTTACAAGGAAAACAGAAGCTTTAACAAATTATACAATATGAAAATGATAGAACAGAATCCAGAATAGATAAGGAGAGCAGAGCCTGCTAAACTAATGATCAGGAAAACTAGATTCCAGTCCTTATCCTACACTTAGTAGTTCAGTATGTTCGGAAACAAAATTCAACCTCTGTGAGCTTCACTTCCTATATAACAGCAGAATTGGGGGTCTTTAACATGCTTGAAGGTTTAACAATCTACATATGCAAAACACAAGTGCCCAAACTCCACTAGGTGACTTCTAATTTCTATCTTACCGTACAACGAGTCCACCAACTAGACTAACCTAAATCAGGTATTTATAAATATCACCCTCAAAGAACATTCACTTAAAATTTTTTTTCCTATTTATAGAAGTCACTATCCACCTTTGAGCTTTTTCTGGAAACTGGATCGGGGGAGGGGAGGGAACACCTCCTTCAGGGCTGAGAGAATGAGATGCTGGAGGTACTGAAAGGCAGAAAGGCAACGGCGAATGCCACTAATGCTCTGCTGGTGAAGCACCCCAAGACGTGAAGGGGATGCGCAGTGTCCCTCTTGACACCACTCCTTATCCTGGGTCCCTCCAGGCAATTCCCACAGAGGCGGCCACACAGCAAACAGACCACAGGCCACAAAGGAAAATGGAGAAATTCACTGTAAGTTAATATCTGGTTACCGAGTGGCCTAGAGAACCAAGAAACCGAGACGCATTCTCAGGCTCCTTTCATGGTCTGAATCAGCTGTATAGGACGTGCGGGATACTTGCTTTCTTAACTCAGGGGTTTACATACCTGATGATCCGGCTTGTAATGACTTAAACAGTGAACCAGGGACTAAGATTCATGCAGTACTTTTAAAAGTCTCAGATCTTTGGGAATTTACATAAGAATCTGTGGTTGTGCAAGCTGGGAAAGACAAGGCAGCTAACAGTGCTAAAAGCTATCTCTTCTTCCCAGGAACTCTGGATATGCTCTTGGGAAAAGACCTATGATTTTAACACAGAAGCCAAAACATGTATGTTTAGAAGTCTGCAGGAAACCAGTTCTCAAGGCGACCCAGAGAGAGAAGCCAGAGAGCAGACCTACTTTTTGGAGAGGACCCACGGTTGGCTTAGAGTCATTTTCTGGCCACTGAGGCCACGAGGGTCCCTTGCTGGCTCGGGTCCTTTCTATCTAAGCACTTCCTTTTCTTACCCAAAGTGCCTCCTGCTGGTGACACCCGGCCGTCTGCTGTCCGGACAAGGTGTGTGATCTTGGTTTTCCTTGCTTTTCTCTTCTGGCTCCCCACCAAGGGTTCTTGAGTTGTTGTTGGCTCTGGAGTGTTGGGAATGGATAGGGCATTTTTAACCTTATAAGCAGGCTCTGTGGTGGTTTTGTCTTCTGAAAATATGGCTGCAACAGGACAGAGCATATACAGTTACACACAAAAACACAAGCATTACTTGCAGAAGGAAACACGTCTAAATGCCCAACCTATTTGAACAAGAACTTAAAGTTTTCAAATTATTGAGGGAAAAAAGAAATACTGACCATAATTTTAAACAAATATTTCTTTAAATATTAAGTACAGAATAGGATACCCTCTGTACCCCAACAGAATACTATACTAAGAGGCCAGTGGAGTAACATTTTCTAAGTGTTTGGATCTTGCAGGTTGCAGGGTGGATAAGTGTGTGTAAATATGAATAAACTGTGTCCCAACAGACAAGTCGCACACATGATCAGGATCCCTATTTGAGATCCTTTTGACCAGCTAGTCTGGAGAGGTAGATTAAAGAAGTTTCTTTCCTTCTGAGGATACTGAGGTTAAATACGTGCTTCTTAAATTTACACTTATCACTGGGACATTTGTTTTCAACCTCCAGGTTGGACTGATGAGAAAAGAAATTGTCTGTGAGAACTGATCTTCTTTTATGCATGCTGAGTACATAATAGAAGGACCTGGCAAACACTGATGAAGCTAGCTTGTAACGAAACTCTCCCATTGGCAGAATTCAAGGACAAGATAATGTGCTTTAGGGAGATAATTTAATAAAGTACATGTCAGTGCAACTCCCTGAAAGGTTAGTTTCAGGTTTTCTAATTCTAATTGTAATACCAGCAAATCACTTAATAGCACACACTTGTATCCTATTAGTCACTGTGTCAAGAGTAAGGAACACATTTGCCACCAAAGACCTTGCTCCCAGTTCAAATGGGTCAGGAATGCTGTGTCTCTATTTCCTTAGGAGTCTGTCCCTCTCTCTCCCCCCTTAATTTAAATTAAGACAAGAAGACGCAGATATGACTACAATAAGCACTTAGAGAGTATTTCTTTGTAGTCAAGTTTCCTGATTGGGACTGTTTTTTATCCCAGTGAACTAAGGGTAGTGAGACAGGAGAAAGAGGCCGTCTTTCCATTTTTAACTGTCCAATCTCTTAAGACGGGTCTAGAAACTGTTTTTGACAAAGAGAAGGGGCGTGCGGGTCAGGAAATCAACTTGGTGGGCAGCTGGAGGTGCTTTTATCAAAAGGGGGATGAGAAGGCAGACATTGGAAGTAACACAATATATGTAATGTAGAAAGACAAGCTAAAATAAAAGGAACACAGCAGAAGAAATAACTCAGGGTGTGAAAAATGTTACTTATTGATATAAATGCTTATATAAGCTTCATTTAAAAATTTTAATGTAGCTCCCTAATGGTTTAAGTGCAGCCTTGAGAAAGGAGGCTACAAATTAGTAACAATTTTGCCCTTAAGCATTTGAAACCAGGCTTCCTATTCCAAACAAGTGGGAAATCATTTCAATCACATCAAGAGAAAGGATGTAAAGCAGAAATCATACCATGATGTGTGGCTTGGTCTTACTATATTATTGCATAATAGATGGCTGTGTGTGGACAGGCTTAAAATAATACTTAAAAACAAACAAACAAACAAAAAACTATTTGGCAATGCTCCCAAACATCTTTTCAAGCAAGTAATTAAAAATTAGGAAAAAGGCTCCTTTTAAATTATAAATCTGACCAGGTCAGTCATGGAATATTTAGACTTTGCAGTTAGCTTCACATAGGCCAGTGGTGGTATATATGCATTAAAAAAATTTTTTTTTTAGTTTAAACTTCAATGAAAGCTACCAGCAAAATAAAAACATAATTTGATTAGAAACACTCCAAAGGTGTTTCATGGCTCTGCATTAGCCCTGAAATTCAAGCCTCTTATATAAAGAAGCCAAAATCTTGAGTTTATAATAACCTCATTGGATATTCACAAGCTTCAAAAGTCTAGTTTCTTATCTAGGCTGATCAGTTGTCCCTTCTGACTACAAGGGGAAACTTGTGATCTCTCTCTGGTATGATCACTGCATTACAGATGGACCTTCCAGACAAAGCATTAACCTCTGCTCTCTTTTTCTTCCTCTTCCAAGAAAAATCTAGAACTTGTGGAGATAAGGGTGTAGCAGGATTCCAAAGATGAAGGGTGTTTTAAATGCAAATTACTGCTTGTATAAGAAAAGAATCACGAAGGTCAGAGAAAAGGCATGGGCACCAGAAAAGGGCTAAGAGGGCTGGGAAAGATGACCCGGTTTTTATGGCAACAATACAGGGCTGATGGAAATACCACAGTCTCAGAAGACTCTATTCTTGACTCTTTAATTTACTAACGGTGGGACCAGGGGTCTCAGTTTCCTCAAGGGAAGATGGAAGCTGGATGGACTACCTCTAAAGAAGCCATCCAGCCTAAAAATTCTCTTCGTTTTGCCGCACAGCCTAGGACCGGGGCCCTGGCGGTGTTCTCTCCGGCCAGCTCCGGGGTCTCAAGGCTGTTGGAGAGCCTTGGTTGTGGGACTCCCTTGACTGTCAGCCTTTTCCTTTCAGCGAGACTTCAGATATTTTAACTTCTTTTCAGTGGTCGCTCATTTTCCTATATATTTCCAGGAGAAGCCAAGGGCGTGGGTGCAAAGGGTTTGCAAATGGGAGGTGAATCAGGCCTTAAAGGCAGTGGGACCGGGGGACGCTCAGACACCAGCAGACAAGCAGCCACGGGGTCAAGGCAGGCGGCCCACAGATACCAGTGATCATGGGGTCACAGGGATTGGGATGCTGGGAGACAGTAAAGGAATGAATTAGGCTGCAGGCAAGTGAAAGACGAAAAAAAAGGAGAACGCTCTAGAAGTTCTCATAAATCACCGTAAAGGAGGCAATGCCACCTCTCCAGACGCTGTCTTCTCTAAACCACCGTCAGATCGAAAAGTAATCACAGGGCCTGTAGATCATCCACGTTGGAAAAAGGCATCTGGGACTTTGCTGGTGGTCCAGTGGTTAAGAATCTGCCCTCTGATGCAAGGGATGTGGGTTCTATCCGCGGTCGGGGAACTAGACCCTACAGGCCACGGGGCAACTAAGTCCATGTGCTGCAACCTGAGAGACCCAAGGGCCGCAATGAAGAGCCTGCAGGCCAGTTAAGACCCAACTCAGGCAAGTTAGAAAATCCTTATTTAAAGAAAAAACTTCAAGATAAAAAAAAGCATGGAATGTGATCCTCCTGTAGTTAAGAGGAAAAGGGCAGAGTGAGTCTGTCCCATGCTCTGACCCATGGGTGACCCTGAAAACATCTTGTCTTCTCTGGTGGCCTAGACCGATGCTGGTCTTCAGGGTCAGTGCTGAGGGAGAACCCTCTCCTAACACAGAAGAACTGGGGAAGGCAGGTAAGGCTAACTCAAAGACGTACAGCTGAAGTTCGAACAACGCAAGTTTGAAATACACAGGTCCTCTTATAAGAGGATACTTTGGCATAAATACATCCTACAGTACTACATAGTCCATGGCTAGTTTAATCTGCAGATGCGAAACTGCTTATACGGAGGGCCTAGAGGGCTAGCTGTAAAGTTACACATGAATTTTTGACTGAGGGGGTGAAGCGGGGGGTGAAATGACTCACTTTGTTCAAGAGTCAACTACAGCTGCCTGGGACAGAACAGTAGATATGAGTCCAGCAACATTAACAAAGAGAAATTTCTTTTATCATCCTCTCCAACTAGCTGGTTAAAGGAGCTCAGGCAGGAACCCTGAACGCACGTAGCAACTGTGGTCTACTGGGACACAATCTAGATTTACATACACAGTCCTCCCCACCAACGTGCAAGATTCAAAACAAAGGCTTATTGGGGCAAGAAAATTCAACAGAAACCTCAATTAAACAGCCAGAGGACCAGAAGGGGGAGCTCTCGAGCCTTGTGATGATCGTGGAGCCCAACATGAAGAAAGACCTCTCTCTCCTGGCAGGGACTCACAATGAAAAGCCACACACTTCATTTACCATAGACCCCCCAATTCCAGTTTCTTTCCCCCTCTATAAAACTCTCCTTCCTTTGACATATGGGGGCTTGCACACCATGGTTGCGCACCCCAAAGTTAAATTCTCCACTGATCCAGAATGTACTCTGAGTATATTCTGGCGGTCTTAGTTTCAGGTCAACAGGGGTGAGGAACAGGAAATGAAAAAAGCATAGAGGGAACAGCCCAAAGATGTGGATTGAGACAGCAAGGTTGCTCGTTTCCCCTGCCCCCTCCGTCCCCCGCCCCCCGCCCCAGACCCCTGCGCTAAACTAGTGGAAATGTGAGAAAAGGAAGGTTTTGTCCTCTAAAAACGAATCAGTCATTTTCCCTTTGGGCTTGTAACAACACACAAACCTACCCAAGCACTGCAAAACAAGTCCACAGAGCTGCTTTTTTACACCCCACAATAATCATAACACGCTTCGAGCATAACATGTGAGAGTGATGATGTGAACATGCTGGTTCCTGAAGTGACATTAGGAATGTGGCCATAACAGACTGTCTTGTTTTCCAAACTCTGTTCCCAAAATGTAGAGTGAGTTTCTTGGTGAAGCAGCGTCGCACTTGTACTGTTACCCCAGGAGGCCATTAAAATGCTCCAGAGTCATTAACTCACATGCCAATGACAGGAGTCACATGTGCACTGAAATTATTATAGCCAAGTCTGGACTCTCACAGCCATGGGTTAATCTCCATGAGCTGAAAATGCAGTCAAAAGCTAAACAGAACACAGGAGTCAAATGAATGAGCCTTATCTAAGACCCTAGGGACTCTGCTGAAGTTAAAAAGCTACTACTCTGAACTTAACGAAGAGAGATCAAGTTAGCCCGACTGTGTAGACATTTTAAAAATCTAACTGTAAACTAGACTTTTCTTTCCTGCAATTACATCTATACATTGCAAAGAAACTAATTTTATGGAGATGCCTAGTCTGAGATTTCTTTTTTTTTTTTTCTTATACAAGATAGCATTTATAATTCCAGCAAATGAGGGCTACCCAGATATGCCTGAAAAACCTAAACCGTGGTGGTCAGATGCTTTGGTGCGGGTTTCTTCCCTTCCTGCTTACACTGGCCAGGCTTCAGTTCCTCATCAGGCATTTGAAGCTGATGAGGTCTCCTTCAATTGACTGGAGCTGCTGTTAAGATTCATTTATACAAAAAGTATATCTGAAAACCCCCTGGAAACATAAAACAATATTAAGTAGTAATCATCCCCAACAATATTATTATAGTTGGAAACCTCTAGCTTAAGCATGAAAATATGACACTGTAACTTAGTGGAAAGATAAACACAGTGGCAGAGGGAGGTCATCTTGGTTTTTTTGAAAATTTTACCTTGAATTCTAGCCTACAGGCAAATCTTTTTTTTTAAATGATCTGCAAGTTTAATAAGTGGTTCAGCAATTTTGAATTTTAAAATTGGGGAAATGGCTTATAAATTGGGGAAAAGGCTTATAAATTATATGCTTAGCATTTAAACCTCAGATGTGACTACTAAATCCCTGAAAATTTCTGATATTTTAGGGGAGAAAATTCATGGTCAATTATACTCAGATGGTGTAAGTAAAGGATAATGAACTTTAAGTCATCCATTTTAACAGAGTCAGAAGCAGCTAACAGCTGCATATGTAGCCTCAGTGGAATCAATATTTCATTTATAAGGCATCTGTTACAAACTTCTAACGTCAGTCTAACCTTTGCCCAGGATAGCCTACACATGCTACACGCTGTCCTGATTATGGTTTCCTTTTTCTGTCCTCATATACCTATAATGTCCAAGATAAAGTTTTAACAAGGAATGACCTGGAGACATATCACATAGTCACGAAGCACACAGTCACCAGTCACCACCTGAACAATAAAACGGAGGGGTTGGTATAAAAATAAACAACAAAAAGTCACTTTAAATTACTGGTTAATTCCCAGGGCTCAAACTGATTCCTTTCTGTCTGGCTACGTAAAATGAATTTGCACTCTACAATAAAAGAGATGTAATTTTCAGTGCCTATTCTCCAAAGTTTCATTCCATACACATTAATAATAAATATAATTAAATATCAAAGATAATAAATATTTCCAACTAAACCCTTTTGACTGCCTAGAAGATTCAAAATTAATTTACATTTCTGCCCTCCAAATGGCAGAAAATTAGGGCTTCAGAATACGGTATTTTCAGCATTATACCACTCACTAAAGGTACCACAATAATAAAATCATCAAGTGTTAGAGGGGAAATGAAATGTACAGGTCATGTATTACTGTGCCTTCTCATTTATGCCACGCCTAAACACACATATCCTACAATAGAGAACAAATGTGGAGAGTGAATCCTATGAGGTTAAAGGGTCTGTCCTCTGGGAAACCACACATTAGTGGCAGGTCTGAGATTAGGAATCAGGTCCCCTAATTCCTACCTGCTCGCTCTTTTACCACCCTGCACATGCTGTGATACCTCCTTTTAGATGAGTTAGGGTTTTCATTTTTTTTTTAAATTAAAATATGTGGAACAGCATCATGTCAAGAAAAGAGTAATATTGTCTTAAATGCCTCTTTCAGATTCCTCTGATAGTTCATCAGTGCCTTACATTTATCAAATCTGTGAACATATTTTTAAAATACACAAGTATGAATGTCTATCAATTTAGGTATGTTAGGGTTTAATGCTGAGAGTGGCACAACAATTCATATTTTGTTTGCCAGCAAACTGCAGAAATGATACTCTATAGAGGCTGTGAATGTGAAGGAATAAGTCAGAAAGGAGACATTGCTGGCATTTTCTCTAAAAGCAAAATGACATAAAAGCAGACATGCAGCTCATGTAAACTGTACCAACCAAACAACAAAAGTTAATGTTAATGATGAACTCAAATTTGAATATTTTTGACAAATATCTTTAAAACATGAGTGTTTTTCATAAATGACTTAGGTCACATGTGTATTTCAATTTTTTCTCTTTCAACAAAGGAATGAGAGTGTAATCCTTGATTCCTTTGGGAATCAAGAGACATGGACTTGCTCATCAAGTTCCCCTTCGTAGCCGTAAGTAAATAAACCAAAGGGGTAAATCAAAGGATGATCACGAAGATCTCTCCTAGTTTTCAAATGAAGTAACTCCTCATGATACGCTGGAAAAATGTTTGCTCTTTAAAAATATCTAAATGGAAAAGGGCATCAGTGGGAAGCATGGACGCATGGCTCTTTACCCACGGCAAAATCATCATTTATCTGTAGTTCAATACCTAAGAGGAATTAGATAAAGTCACAAATAAATATGACTGTGGGAAATTTGAAATAAAATCTGCACCTCTAACATTTACCAGTCACTATGGGGCTTTTCTTTGGCTATCAAAAGCCGCGGGGACATCCCCTTTGATCACAGTCAAGAGGAAGTGGCAGTGGGCTGGGGAGGAAGCCCAGGTCAGGAATCCCTTCTGCAGGGCTCCCACTCCCAGGACAGCCCTGTGCGGCTCCGTCTGACTTCCCAAGAGCATCCTCTCACAACGTGAGCTGCAACACTGAACATTTCCAGTTTTGAAACCTCTAATTTGGGACTTCCCTGGTGGCCCAGTGGTTAAGAATCTGCCTTGCAATACAAGGGACACAGGCTCAATCCCTGCTCGAGAAACTAAGATCCCACATGCCATGGAGCAACTAAACCCGCACACCACCACATGCCACAACTAAAAACCCAAGGCAACCGAATTAAAAACAAAAAACCCTCTAACTTCTGGTTACTGTGGTTAAAAATCCCCCTTTCACAAATTAAACTCCACATGACACACGGCCTGACCATCAGTAGGATAAAATTTTGTCACTTTTGAATTGGTTCATAGTGCTTTTCAGATCTAATATATCCCTTCTACTTTTCTATCCATTAATTTTTGAGAGTTTGATATTGAACTCCAACTAAAAATCTTAATTTATCTACTTAAAAAATAATTGTAATACCTAGTGGAACTATATGTAACTTTGTTCTGTTTTTTCCACGTCTCTGGTAATAGTGTTATCATATTTTCATAATTTAAAAGACTTAAAAAAGCAAAAAATCTATCAATTTTGATATGAAAATTAAAAATAACTCAAAATTAAAAAATAACAGGTCTAATGCTGTTGCTTAGTTCTATATAAACTGATGTCTTTTTAACTCTACAAAAATTATGCCATTTCCAGCATATTCTACCTGAAACGATACAGTGAATGTTGCCTCTTTTACCTTCTGTAGGGTGAATGGCATCCAAGAAGAGCTGCTTGCTTGACCATTTATCCCCACTTCCTAAAAGCGGTAACAGAAAAGGAGAGTGAGTCTCTACTCCTAGTACACACACACTATAAAAATAAGACAATCCACAAAACCACCTCAATAAAAAAGCATTATAACACAAACGAATAGAATTTTACCTCAACTACTGAATTCTCAAAATCACATTTGCCAACTAATTAGGCCATATCAGAAAAGCATTAAAAGTGAACAAATTTGCATTTTATAAAACACATTGTTGGATCATTTCTATGACTTTAATCGAGATTAACCTAGAGATTGGTTAAAAGATAAAAGCTGACATTTTACCTAAAGAAAGGTATTTCTCCACTGAAAGCAGAGAATAAATACCAACATACAAAACAAAACTAAGAGGCTGAAATGCAGGTGAAAATAAAACCCAAATTAAGTAAAAGGTCACACACAGGAACACTCAGGCATGTATGTCTACACACGGAAGACAGCTGCATTTAAAGCCTCATTCCATAAACACGAAGGACTCCACAACTGGCCATGCAAGTAGGATGCAAATGGGCATCGGATGAGTAGGCTCATGGCAGTCACGACACTAACATGCAGGAGATGCAGAGAAAGACTGACTTCCAGGACATGTGGTTGTACTGAACCAGAAGGGAACGTCTATCTTCTGTGTCAGAGAACAGAGGCCTGAACTGAAGAGAGGGAAGTCTTCAGTGAGCCCCGAAGAGGCTCAAGGGCCCATCCAGATCGTGCCCATGACACCGATGCTCAGAGGAAAGGGAGGGTGGAGTGCGTATGTCCCTCATGCCCTCTGGAAACAATGGTTATGTGACTGAAGGAGGTGGCAAGCGCCTGACAAGCTAAGTATATAGACAGAAAAAAAGAGAGACAGGTTACGACGTAGGAGTGGAATCCCCCTTGACAAGGATCCTCAAGTGTCAGAGAAAGTGCAGAAACTGCGGGACTCTCATATGAATATGAAACTGGGAAGATTTTAGGAAGCAGGAAATGTGGTCCTGCTTTGACGGCTGCCAAGCATGAGAAAAACGGGAACAGTCAAAGAAAATGAGTGGAGAAGAGCTCACAAAGACTAAATTTAAAAAATGTACCAGATACAAATAAAAAAAGGCAGTTTTAGGATTCATATGGAACTCTGAAACTAGAGACAAATAAGGGATTTGAGTACAGAAGTGGAAAAGATCCCTCTTTGCAATTAGCTGCAGAGTCTAGAAATAATGAATGTGCCTGCGTCAGAGCTGATGACATTGAAGCAAGCAGAGGGGAGGTAAAGGCCAAGACGGTGCAGTGAAGCGTCACTCAAAGATGAATCCACAATGGAGGTGGCCGAGAAGTCTTAATGGAGCATGGAAGGCACCAATACCTTTTTCCGGAACATTAGGCTTCTCCTTTTTGTGCTTATATTTGCTGACAATTTTGTGGAATAAGTTCTTTTTCTGAGACTGGAAAGGACCTACAGACAATATTAATATAAATATATTTAAAATTTACAATGCTTCATAAAAAAAAATACTGCGTGTCTCTAAACAATTACACCCTCCCCCAACTCGTGGAATAAGCAAACTGATTCACAAAGAAATGTCATCTTGCATCTTTTCTCATCCAACTCGTGCTTAGCCCCCTTCCCTAGATTTACTGAAAAACCAGTGAGATTTTCCTTAGAAATGTGTCTGACAGAAGTCTCCATTAGGGCTGGGACTCTCTCAGCAGGAACTGCAGATGTAGTGACTACAGCAGACCACAGCCAGAAATGGCAGTGCATATGCAGCCTGCAATAAACAGACGATTTTACGTTAGATTCCTAAATATCACGAAGGCAAGGATGACATGGGCATTTCGTCTCTCCTAAGAAACTGATCTTCACAAGGACAGACTTTGAGGATGACTTTCAGGTCGGCCTGATAGCATTAGATAGCTTTCCACCCTACTCTGAAGATATACTAGGAATAAAAGATTGATTTAAAAATAGAAAAATATTTGTCAAGACATTTTTGTGGAGGGTGGCAGGGTGAGGGGAGTAGGGACTGGGCAGAAGTCTCAAACTGCATCTTAGTTTTGCTCAGATAAAGAAAAGAGACTTGGGATTTTTTCAATCACCATCAGAAATGGCAACAATTTCAGCACTGACCTCCCCAAAGCAGGTTGCTTTCTACACTTTGATGATATTCCTATGTGAAACTGACAATCATCTTACATAACTTCTGTTTCCTCATGTGTAAATGGGGATAATAATAGTGCCTAACTCACAGGGTTGAAGTGAGGATTTTAAAAATTAGAAGCTCTCTAAGCTGCTCCTGCTGCATCTACCCACCTACCAGATCTGCACCCACGTGCCCTGTCTTTCTGCCAGAGGCAACTATCTGCACTCCTGTCTAAAGTATACCATTAAATGGTTTTTATGTTCACAGATATTTGTGGCCGTCATCAATTTGAGGACATTTTCACCACCTCAAAAATAAACCTCATATCCTTTTAGCTACTACACCCCTCCCTACATCTATATTCTCTGTATCCCTAACTGCCCGGGCTAGAACCTCCACTTCAATGTTGAATAGAAATGGTGAGAGTGGACATCCTTGTCTTATTCCCTATCTTAGGGGGAAAGCCCTCAATCTTTCACCATTAAGCATAATGCGGGCTGCAAAGTTTTCTTTCTTTCTTTTTTTTATGTCTTTTATCAGCTTTTTAAGTTCCCTTCTGAGTTTGTTGGCTGTTATCATGAAAAGGTGCTGAATTTTGTCACGTGCTCTTTCTACATCTACTGAGATGATCCTGTGGATTTTTCTTTGTCTTTGTCCTACTGCTACGGTATATTACATCAACTGGATTTTTGGATGTTAAACCAACCTTGCATTCCTGGGGTAAAACAACAGTTGATTACAGTATATAATTCTTACATGGATTCAGCCTATTAGTATTTTGTTAAGGATTTCTGTGCCTACATGTGTTAGAGAGAGTGGTCTGCAGTTTTGGATTTTCTTGTCTGTATGATATGTTTGTCTAGTTTTAACATTAGGGTAATACTGGCTTCGTAGAATGAGTTGGGAAGTGTTCCCTCCTCTTCTAATGTTATGGCCAAGCTTATGAAAAACTGGTATTAATTATTTAAACACTTGGAAGAGTTCAGTAGTAAACCATCTGGATCTAGTACTTTTTTGATTACTAAATTCAATCTTTATACGAGTTATAGGTCTATTCACATTGTGTATTTCTTAAGTCAGTTTCAGTAGTTTGTGTTTTTCTAGTAACTGCCCATTTCATGTAGGTTGCCTAACTTATCACCATACAATTATTCCTTTTTAATCCTTTCCACTTTTGTGAGGTTGGTAATAATGATCCCTATTTCACTTCTTGAATTTGTTTTCTTTCTTTCTTGGTCAGTCTAGTTAAATGTGTCTCAAGTTTGCTTTTGTTTTCAAAGAAATAGCTTTTGGTTTTAATGACTTTTCTCCATTATTTTACTTTTCTTTATTTAATTAATTTCATTTCATTAATCCCCTCTCTAATCTTTATCATTTCCTTTTAGGTTAAGTTTGTTCTGCTAACAGTGTCTCAAGACAGGCTAGGTTATTGATTTGATATCTTTCTTCTTTTTAAATATATGAATTTATATTCATAATATAAATGCTTTAGCTGTACCTAAAAATTTCAGCATGCTATACTTTCATTTTGTTCATCTCAGAGTATTTTCATATTTCCCTACTGATTTCTTGTTTGACTCACTGGTTATTTAGAGTGTGTTGTTTAATTTCCACTTACTTTTGGGTTTTCTGAATTTTCTCCTGTGGTTAATTTTTACTTTCATTCCACTGTGGTCAGAAAACATGATTTCAATTATTTCAATCCTTTTTGTTAAATGTCCCAGTGTACTGTGCATTCTGGAGACTGTTCCATGTATACCTGAGAAGCGTGTATATGATGCTATTGGTGCGTGGAGCATCCTATATATGTCGTTGGGTCTAGCTGTTGTACAGTGTTCAAGTCTTCTCCTTTGTTAATTTTTGACCTAGTTCTATCAAACCTATTCTTTTTTCCATATTACTGCTCACCTTCTGAAACATTATTGTTTAGACTTGTTTACTGTCTGGTACTCCCACTATAATGTAACCTCCACGTCAGCAGGGTTCTTTGTTTTCATTCAGAGGTATATTCTACATGCCTAGCATGGTGCTTAACACGTGACTGATTTTCAACAATATTGTTGCATGAATAAATAAAGCTCTTAAAACACTGGATGGCATATATAAAGAGTTCAAGAAATGACCGCTGTTGCTATTATTACTGATAACATAAAGGTTTACAAGTGATTTTTGAGGACTATGCCAAGTCATCCTTCTAAATAACCAATAACAAATATTCTGAACTGGGTGGTAGTGGTTTGAAATGGAAACAGAAAACACTGTTTTTTGGGGTTGGGGGGAAATGAATGAACAGGGAAAGAAGATAAATTTAACAAACACAAAGACAATATATCATGTGGATGATAGACACTAATATTACAGGTACTCTTTATAGCCCATTTGCCATCATTCATAGGTATTTTATACAATCCAGGAAACCATAGGCTGGTGCACATGAAGGACAGATGCACGGGCAATCACGGAAAGCAGAAGCAGAAGAAAGCAGAAAGCAGAAAAACAATTCTGAGACTTCTCTGGATCATAAGGATCCTAGTGATCCTCATGCAGTGATCCGACCCACAGGAAGATAATCTAATAACAATAAGGTGCCGGTTCACAGGGAGAGTGATTCTTGTTCATCACCATGTATGAGGACAATGGGATCAGGAAATGGTTCACAAAACTGATTTCATGTATGGAATGGGTTAAGCAAGAAGAAAAGAATACATATTTTCAGACCCAACCATACTCGGAGAAACCTGAAACGTATAACTTAAGGACAAACCTTAATATAGAGCTGGTCAATTTTAACATAAAAAGAGAACATCCAGGGAGGTCTAGTGCCCAGAAGAGCCTCCGTAAAGTTATATTTTTAAACAGCCTTGCTGCTAGCCACCCTGGACTACGAAACAAGTCTAAGCGCACGACAAGTTCAAATAAAAAGGGAAGTGACAAACTCGAAGGAGCTTGGTATGAGGATAAGATCCAAGGATATTACTGAAAAGCAGTAACTTTAGTCAAGAAGGGAACAATCTGACTCCTGTCTACCGGTATGGAATACATGTTTGCTATTTTGTTCAAGGAAAATAAAGTCAAAATTTGTAATAAATAGCACATGTACTACTATTTTTCCTTAATTTTAATTAACATAGAAATGCCCAAGGAGGCAAAAGAAGGTAGGAAGTCAAAAAGAGAGAAGAGAATTAAGAAGGAATCTTCCAGAAAGCAAACAGGTGGCAACTGTCTTTCCCTGAACCACCATCTCGTTACCATGCCATCTCCTTCTCCCATCTTCCTACCAAACCTCTTCAAAGACTGTTGGTACAAGTTTCCACTTCCTTATGCAAAAAATCACTTGTTGCTGGCATATAAACTAGCTTAGGACTTCACTAACATTTTTGGGCAGGGTGGCCTGCATTTTGAAGGTATCAATTTCTTTTGCACCCCAACTTCCCAGCTGGGTAAAAAATAGCAAAGACAAACTATAAGCTGAGAGGGTAGGAGGGATGCCATAGAGACACGGATAACAACTTTTCAAAACATGAATGCTGTTCATGGTTTGCTGAAAAACGGACATGTTTTACTGAGAAGTGTAGTGACACAGAGCCCTTTGAGTATTAGTATGGTATGACAATTTTTCAAGATCCGCAGGAGAGGTGAATTAAGAGAACCTTGGTTTGGAGAACTGCTTGCTTTAGGAAACAAGTGTCAGGGGTTACTTGAATGGTGGTGACAATGTCCAGCTTCTACAGTTTCATGTGTTTAAGCTATCAGAAGAGCAGAGGTTTTATCCTAAGACAAGGCTGTCATTTCGGTAATGAACACATAAGCAATGAAGGGCCAATGAAACGTAAATTCCTTTGTAATAATTTTTAGCAAAGTGGCTACTGGACATATGAATCTGTGGACTGGATTAAGTTCAAGGAGATGAGACACAATCAAGTCAGGATTCACTGAGGAGGAGGCACCTTATTGGGCCAGACATGCACGCCTTGTTAAAGCAACTCAGGATTATATTAGGCATACCTTTTATATCTGCAAATGTGCTGTCACCATGCTTCAGAAAGCGTCTGGGGACAGGGAAGACTCTCAAATAGCTACAGGGCAAGAAACAAGAGTTCTGCCCAACCTGGAAGCTACCACTTCCTGATGGGAAAGGGATGGTCTGATTTTCATCATATCTCAGCTCTTGAACACTATTAATATGGTCAGGTCAGCTCAATCCCAAACAGGGGATTCTGTCCTCAATCTTTAACATTGTAAACCTGCTTCTTTTATTTCCATTATGATTTTCAAAAATTTTAAATTCTTTAACAGTGGAAATTTGCATCTTGCAGAGTAAGTGTAAATTGGAAAAACATGAGAAAGACCAACAGTATGTGTGTTAATAGGCTAAAAAACAATGTGAGAAGATAAAAGAGATAAGGAAGGAGAAATTGAGTCAAGGGTCAAGCTTGGGCATAATTCAAACACTCCAAATCGAACTCAATTAACTTTTTCTTCACGACCCTACTTGCTTGAAAATTACTATTTTACAGAGCACTCTGACTTCTGATACTTTTGTAAAAAGTGCTTCACACATTAACAGTATACTTAAAATAATGTGTCAAAACAAATCTCCTAAGCTACAATTAAATTTAGATTTATAATTCAAAGCTTTCATTTGAATATATACAAGTAACTGGAAGATAAACCAGAAAACACTCTAGAGATGGGCTACTGCAGCTGACCTGCACTGTGAATGAGATAGATAACTTCCTGGATAATCTTAGAAGCAAAGGGAGATTCTATGCCTAAAACATCTATATACTAAGCCTACTTAGTACATACTATATACTATATACTAAGCCTGCTATAACAAGCCTGGACCTTGTGGGAGGAATGCAGACCCATTACATACATGGCAGAGGCAGTAGAGGCGATGATGGAAAAGGAAAGACCACTTGGAAATACAGATACAAATAAGAAGACCACTGGAAAAAGAGAAGTATAAACCCAGCTAGGTCCTATGATCTTGAGGTGTGTAACTCTATAAATGCATACATAAATATTTCTTCTAGAAATTACATTTCATAAAAATTCTATATGTTTTATATAACCTGGAGTAGCTAAAGAAATACCTAGTATAAGGTAGGGAAAAATACAATAATAAATGCTGAATAACAAATACAGGAGAAAATAAAATACAGACAAATGTTGTTGAAGAAAAAATGAGGTTTCCTATGAAAACATGCTCCTTTACTAAAGAATTACTGATCTCACTCACAATGTTTGCTTTGAACAATTCATTATGCAAAAATGCAAAGGGTCTAGACTCTAAGAAAACAATCTCCTCTATCCTCTAAAGATCAGGCAATTACAGCACAGCTGGTATGATAATTTCATTAATAACTTGTAGGATAGTACACTGGCGCTGCTAATGCCAAATTATAATCAACTACAAATACTACTTCTTTAGTTTGCTAAATAGAGAATATATTATTTCTGTTTTATTTTAATCGCATTTTGCTCCACAAGTTGGAACGAGCAAAATCTAAGGTCTTGACAGCCTTCCTATCTATGCAATTACTGGTACACTGTGTTAAGAACTAGGGACTTTGTGGCCTGAGAGGCAGAACAGAAGAGTTAAGGTGATATTGTATGAAGTATAATCCAAAGCTCCAAAAAAGCTATTTCACATCAAAAGAAACACTGTTAATCTCAGCTGGGAGAGGAGAACATATAACAGACAACCAACACCCAAGAGAAGGTCTCATGAAAATAGACCCTAACTTCAGAGTTTTATAGCTCTACAAAAATAAATCTATTGTTACAGCCCCTGATAGATAATTCAGCCAACTTCAGAGCTCTAAAATGAATGTCTCCAGCTGCAAGGAGTGGGGGAAGAGCATATGTCCTGCACATCAATCAGTTAAGTTCCATTTTATTAGTCTGTCAGGTATTTATCAGCAACTTTAAATCCAAGAATTATGGGGGTTCACGATACCTGGCATCTTTGGGCTCATGAACTGCTTTGCCTATTCCTAGATATCTCCAGGGCACAAGGACTGTCATTTCCCTCGGTAATCCATTACGGTGCTCAGCTACCTACCTGTCAACAGCCTGCTTTACTTCTTTCCTACCTATCTTGGAAGATCTCAGAACAACCTTATTTTATTTTCTCAGATGAGCAAACCTGGTGATGCAATATTTCTTTTTTAGTTCTTTATTTATCAGACTTGTTTTTATTAACCACAGAGGAAAAACTGAGCTAATTCTAAAATCACTTTTACATTCCTTCCCACCTTTCATCACGAAGGGGGAATTTTCCTCACCTTTTCAGATCCACCCTGAGATATAGGTCTTCTTGTTGTTTCAGCTTCAGTGTACAGTGGGGGTTTTAGATCTTGATGGAGAAAGGTTTAGGTTTCTTCATAGATATAATTTTCCCCTAGATATATATACCTTATGGACTCCCCCAAATCCATGAAATTATATACACTTGTTACTATTTATCTTTGATCATTATCCATGATTGCTAGATTTTAGCAAGATTTTTGCAAAGATATATATCATTTTCTATCTATCCGTTCATCTATTCATTCAGCTAAATACACACAAAAAGGGAAGTATTCTGAATTGCCATAGAGCAAGCAATAGGTTGCCTCTTTTACAGGGTAATTATGAGAACTCTGCCATCAAATCCTGCTCAGAATTTGATGCTGGAAACAACAAGCCCCCACACTAGTTCTTCATCTCTCGTTCACTACCCCTACTGGAAAACTACCGTAAAATGAAGTTTTTCACCTCTGTGTGGAAAACTAAAGGTACACTTACTTGCCTACCAACTCTCAGACCTAAAGTAAACTCAGAAGAGGAGTTTTGCACTGGAAGCAATACTGTGGCTTTGTGTAGGACAGTTCTGCATTGTACTTGAGTGTCCCGCACAGGTTAGGATGTTTAGAACTCTAGCCTCTGCCATACAAATGTGCCAGGGGTTGTGACCACTGAAAACGCATACCCCACTCTTTAAAACCCCTCTAATGAACTGCAGTGCTGCCTCTCATGAGTGCTGAGACTCCCCGGTCCCCCAAGCTACACTGACAATTTAAAAAACTTCCCTGATATACAAAGAGGAGAATCTGATATTCTTGAAAAAGACTATGTACATAGCACTTCTCTAAATTTAATAAAACCAATAAAAATTACATTGCCAAAGTATTATGGGGAGTTTTCTCTTCATTTGGTTCAGTTGCCAGTTAAGAATGGAATCTCCTTATTAGGTGAACGGAAGGATTTCACTGCCTCAAAGTCCAACCTGGTGCAGACACACAGAGAGACAGATGAACTGGGCTCAGCCAACAGTTCCTGCTCAAGAAAAGCTCAACATTCCCAACCTGAATTCTGGAGACAAGAAGGTCCAAGACCATGTGTAATTAAGACCTGCATGTTTAAGGGCAAATGTATAGGTTGAGATGCCCAAGGATGAAGGCTGAAGAGGCTTAGGAAGAAGACGAGAGAGAAGAGTAAGGCAGGAACCAAGATAACCCTAGAAAGGAACCGAAATTCCAACTTCTTACTGCTTCAACTGCAAACCCAAGTACATATCTAAAGGGAGCTGCAGACGGTCAGAAGAGGCTTCAGTTAGAGCCCAACCACGCTGCAGGAAGGTACAGCACACTTCTAACCTTTGCTGGTTTTAGTCGGTTCTGCGGACATATTTCCAGTCTTCTTCTTTTTCCTTGGGACAGGTACACATTTCCGGTCAAATGTAACAGGACTATACTGAGGGAGGCTGTTGAATTTCTTTTCAAATTCTTCATCCAGCTTTGTTGAGCTAATGAAAGAGGGGAGGGGAGAGACTCAATCAGCACATGATGTAAATGTTTAAAAAGAAAATTTTTTAGAAATGCTTGAGCTTTACCAACCCAGGTTTTTTAGTAAACTCACATGACAGGTTATGTTATTACCTTAGAAAAGTAGAAACATTATAAAAAACAGCAGAGTATTACTGAAGTGGAGAATTTGCTGTTTTTTCCATTGGCATGGGAATTTTTTATTCAGTTCAATACAAAACATACTCCATCCAAGTTTTTCATTCTGAAGATTCTCATCACACATATAGGCAAGCTTATTTATAGAAATTAGTAATTTATATTGATAACTTCATAAACTTAATTTTAAAAAATTACTGACTAGTCTGTGTGCATGCCAAGTTGCTCAGTCGTGTCTGACCCTATAGACCGTAGCCTATTAGGCTCCTCTGTCCACGGGAGTCTCCAGGCAAGAATACTGGAGTGGGCTGCCGTGCCCTCCTCCAGGGGATCTCTCTGAAGCAGGGATAGAGCCCTCATCTCTTCTTGCCTCCTGCATTGGCAAGTGAGGGCTTTATCACTAGTGCCACGCAGGAAGCCCACTGACTAGCTTAGCACTCGATTAAAACACACACTTACCTGGAGAGTCCCATGGGACTACAGCCCATGCGGCCACAAAGAGTCAGACACGACTGAGCGACTAACACACAGGGAAGACATAAACAAGTACTCTGAAGATTAGGAAAAAACTCTGGACAGTTGACCAGGGTGAAGACAAAACATTCAAAGAGAAAAGTAAAGCCAGTTTTCCAAGTACACACCAGCAGAGAGGCAACGTGACTTTGACGCAGACCACAGAGGACTCTAGAAACGCCACCAGCAAAGTTGGGAAATCCTTGGATGCTGCTGGCCGTCTCCACGGAGCCCCAGAGCAATGGCAGGGTGCCTGCTGGAAGCTAGGCTGGTTGCTGGCTTTCATTGAGAGTGAGATTTATTAGCTAAGATGCAACCCAAACAGATGGGAGAAGCTGCAGGGGAACTGCTGTGCTTGGGAGATGGAAAATGGGAAGAGAGCGGCTTTGAGCACCGACTCACCAGAAGCCAAGGCGTTAGGCTGCTTCCTGAGAAGTGTACTTGAGGTGTGTTTGCCTAAGACTCTTTTCTCAGTCTTGCAGGAATGTACGGGAATGGGGAGCACAAATAGGACACTCAGATGATCATCAGGAAGGCCCCCCTGAAAAAGGCCATTACCAAGTTCTAACGAAGCAGTGAAAGGTGATGGCTTGTGGGTGATGTTCCTCCCTTAGTAACAGTGTCTTTTCTCATTTCAGTTAATAAATTATAGTAATGGAAAATCAGATATTATCTGATACTAATCAGTTGTTGTCAGAAAGCTATCAATAAGATGTGAATTCTTTAGATACTCTGGATAACCAAAAGAGAAATATGAAAATGCAAGCTGTAATTCCTTAGGTAACTTGGGACTTTCCCCCACCTTTTTCCACCTAGAATAATTACCTATGTTTTTCTTAAAGAAGTCTACAAAAGTAGAAGTGCCAATACAGACTGAATTTTCCTTGGCTACAGGTAACTAAACGGCACCTTTTCTGCGATAAAAAGGTTTAAAATACTCATTTAGAAATCTCAGAGAAGATTGACAGTTGTGGCATTTTTCACTGCTCATGAACTATGCTCCAAATAAAACAAGCCCAGATAATCTGGTTCTGACAGGCCGGCATTTAAGGAAGGGAGAGGAGGCAAGACCAGAGTTGTGCCACTGATTTAGGCTGTAGAAAATCACACCCCCAGTTAAACACAGGTGGCTTCCTAAGCAACAATGAAAACAAAAACACCCCAATCTCTTTTCAGGAACAGATTTCCAAACGAAGGTTTGACTTTTCTTGTTCCTCAGAGAAGACTGGTAAAAGCATTCAGGAGTTTCTAACAGAAGCAGCAGAGAACTTTCTGCCGGGGAGCCTTCAGGCCTGCTTTATTTGTTCCCCTGGGCTTTCACACTGTCTGCAGTAAGACCTCAACCTCTCTCAGCGTGCAGACCTACAGGACACTGGTAATTCCACAAGATGAGAGAGCACTGGCTCGGACGCTCAATTGTCACTTTTTAAGAAAATCCTGCAAATACTTCTGTGTTTGAAAATGACAAATGCGAGGATTTTCATGTCACTGTTTAAGCATAATGTCAGCAAAATAATCTGAACTTTGGACTCTTAAAAATATTAGAACAAAATATATAGTTATAAATATATCATCTCAATATAAATAATATTGAAGAATCATCCTCATGAGAAATACTTTCCACCCTCCCACTGTGTAATGAGGGCCTTAAGATTAACCAGACCTGAAAGCACTGTGATGTCCAGTTGACAAAGTACATTATCCCACAAAAAGAAATGCAAATATTTATGGATAAAACAAATATAATACTCCTAATGCATAAAATTTGCATACCTTTAACATTCTTATGAAAAAATATGGAAAATATATTAAAATGTACTTATTTCTATTCAGAGTATTCTTTTCAAATTCGGCTAATGAGAAAGCTAAAGGACAGTACGACTGAATATACAGATGCTTCCTTTTCTCACCAATATAAAGTACTGCATCGCCTATCAAAATGCTTTATGTTAAGCTCGGTATTAGGAGTCTGTCTTACATAATAAAAAATAAAATAATTCTTAATTATTTTACCTCAATGTATGTTCCTTCTTGATACTTCATTTTAATACATAATTAATTGCTGAATATTCTCTATATTGAGAGAATATTCTATCTAATATTTTTACCTTAGAGCATTAGAACATGGTTTAAGCAAAACAAGATTAGAGGTAGGAACATAATTTTATGTACATTCTCAGCTGCCATTATTTTATAAATGTGTGCATAACCTTTACAAATATTATATGAAGTACACAAAGTATATAAAATCAGCAAAGTATAAACATGTGATATTCATTGTAAACTTCAGATTAGAACTACATCTTGGCAATATGAAAGGATTTACAATGTCACACCACTAATACAAGGTGGACCTCAATCGAAACTCAGGCCTAAGTCTACAATCTACACATTTTGTACCATAATTAAAACATGAAAGACACTATTACTCACACACCATGATAACAGCAGGAATCACATGATGATCTGTATTTCTTCATGAGTTTACTAAGACCCCAGTAACTGCTGACTGAATACTCAAAGAATAAGCTGTTAGTGATTCGTTTGCTTGGAAACATAATACCACTGCGCGCGCGATCTGCGCCGCACGGCTGACGTGCCCGCAGGCACTTACCCGAGGACAGAGTCTTCCTTTCCCTTTGTCTTCTTCAACTTCTTGCTTCCACTGGTCCCACTCTGGCTAAACGTCCAGCTTTCTTCATTCCAACACCCTTCATGATCAGACGAGTTTCCTTTTCCTGAGCTTCGCTTCCCTAAGGAAATGCAAAAGAGTGTGCTTGGCATATTGGGGTGGGAAGGAAATCATCTTACGTGCTTCGCAAATGACCTCTTGACCCCTCAGGTACTATTTGCACGATGCTATTTGTTAACTATTTCAGAGAACTCAGGACCACCTTCAGTAAGAGAATGTGTAAAAAAGTAACTTACAGACTGAGGTCCACAGTCTCCTAAGTCAGTAGGTGCTACTTGACTCAGGAGAAAGGCCAACTTCTATTTGCTTTTCCATTACAGAATCAGCCTGCGGTGTGGGAGCCCCGTGCTGCTGCGCATTATTAATTCTAATTTCCCAACACTTGGTGGGATGACCTCCCTGGGGCAAAATGCACTCTTAAGGATCTCCATTCAGGGTTTGTGAGACTTATTTTCACACACATCTATGGCTGGAATTTAGTTTGGCAAGAGGCAGTCCCCCAGTTAGATACTGTATTTTAAAACAGATAAATGTATATGGAACACTCTATGGAATAAGAGTATACACATTAACTAGTTTCTAGAACTGTTGTATTTTAAAGAGCTATTCACTTCAATTACAGTTCTGATTATCTAGCGGGGAGGGTAGATAAATTTCTTGTTTCTAGAGTCTACAGGTCAAGGTTCTGTCAAACACCTGCATGATTCTGAAAATTATTTCCATCAGTTAAAAACTAGACTAAGAGCTCTACACATGCCAATACTGATCCGTCAAAACAAAAAGTCAGCCGACACCAGTAAAAAGGAAAAAGATGGGAATAACTTAGAACACTTACAGTCTGAGAATTACATCTGAAATGAACAGAAACGTTTCTCTATGGTGCTAAAACATACGGTAAAATGACAAATGTCTATAATCTATAAACCACAAAGACTCATAGGAATCTAAGATACTATTTTGATACTAAAAGGTTCTTTACTGTGGTCTTAATTGCTTTCCAATACCTCTAAGGGAGGAATTCTGCTAGGTTTCCAGGCTCTTTTCAGATTTTGAGAAGTCGCTTACCTCTGTCAACATTAGCTCGCAGAGAGGTGAGCATGCCCTCAGACACCAGGGTTTTATAAAGAGCACCTTTGCAAGACCTCTCTGATTTCCGGGAGCCACAAGTCTCTATCTTTCTGTGGCAGTCACTGTCCTCAGGCTTGGCCTGTCCCGACAGGGTGGCTGGCAGCGCATCCTCCGTGGGGGTCAACGGTTCTGCTTTTACACCCTCTGGCACCTCACCAGAAATGTTCTTGCTGGCAGAAATACTGATAAAATCTGGGGGTCTTGACTCTTTGGTGGGGTCTGAGGATTTCTCCTTCGACATTTTCTTCTCTCGAGATTTCACTTTTTTCTTTGGTGGCTTGACATCCAGAATGCTCCCCTTTCCGCTGGAGGATGGGCGGACCTTCTTGCGAGGGGCATCTCCAAGCTTCTCGATGCCCCAGTCCCCCTTGGCCACAGCCTCAATGGTGTACATGACACTCTCGATATCTGACTCCGAGGACTGCCTCTTCTTGCAGGCCTTCTTGGGTGTGGATTTATCATTTCCATGTCGATCCATTTTGTTTTTCTTCTTTTTCTTTTTTAGCTTCTCTGGTTTGCTTAGGGCTGTGGGATCCTCGATGATCAGGATCCCATGAGGATGGCATATGTGGTCCTTTCTACCGGGAACATCGCTTATTATTATCTTGCTACTGGCAGAGTAGGAAAAATCAGCGAAGTGACCACATTTTTGATCTTCCTCTAATTCTTCCTTTTTAATTTCTTTGGGAGCTTCCATTTTTATACCTATTATGTCATCCATTCGCAGCTCCTCAAAATTTCTTATTTCCTTAGAATCTCTTACACTTTCCTTAACTGATTTTTCAAACTCTGCTTCTTTCTGTGACCTGGCTTCATCCATTTTCTCCACTTTTGTGTCTCTTTCTTCCTTTCCCTTCTCCAATTCTTTAATTCTTCCACCATCTAATTCTTCCGCTCTTATTAGCTTTGATTCTTCCATTTTCATCCCCTCTGATGCCAGGCACATCTAAACAGTTAAACACAATGAGAATAAAACACATTATTCTATACCTGAAATTACCTTAAGCTTTTAAATTGCATCCTTTAAAAAAAATGATCAAAACAAACTTCAAACTTTACAATAACAAGTCCACTTCTGCAAAAGCAACTTATTCAAATTAATAAAAAGTTTTATAATGTATTCATTCAGCTCTGGAGGAACGTACACTAAAACCGCCATTTTCCAGTTTCTGATGGAGCTTTTCGTGTGAAAATGAGACTTGATAAAAGGAGGGGGGGAGCCGGAGTTGTAAGACCCGAGCTTGAGCCCCGGTTTTGCTCCTTGCTAACTCTGCACCGGGGGAGTCATCTCAGCCCCCGGGATCCTCTGCTACCTTTGTGGGATAAAAATGATGGTGGTAGTTATCTCAGAGGGTCCCGCGACGTGTAAGTGAGGTGATGCATGCACGGCAGTGCTTAGTAAATCACCCCCAAACTCTATGCAGATATTTACCTTTTCTTTTTCTCTTGGGGAAATATGAGGGAAATAGCAACAATTTTTACCTAATCACCTGAAATTAGAAATTATAAGATGAAAGCTCTGAAAAATAAGTAGTGGGTTGCTTTCTTTAAAAAACTTGTTAGCAAACTTGATCTGATCCGAACTTACATGGCTGTAAATTCTGACCAGAACTATAATGAAAATGCTTTGCATTGCTAATTCATCTCAGCGTGACTATGCATATTTTGGCTATCAAATCTCCATGAATTTGAATATATACTGGAGGAATGAACGGCATGCTGTAAGATACATATACTGTATCACTTTCCCTACAATTTGAAAATTTTTGAGTATCAAAACAGATCTGGCAGCAATTCAGTTGGTTTTTAAACTCCCCAAATTTCACATATAGGACATTAAAGGAGAATGTCGCCATCTTCCTCTCCAGCAGCTCTAGGTACTTTGAAACTGCAATCTGAAGCTATTTTCTAAAAAAGGAAATTATAGTTCATTGTAAAATTCATCTTCAATACCTAGGTTTTCACTCAGAAACACTCCCTGTGAGATGCCCAGGTGCCAGGCCTAATGGAGGGCACTACAGGTATAAGGATCAATAATGCCCAACCCATGTGGTCCTGACAGCCTCCACCCCAGCCCCCCAGCACCTCTGAGGAATTCATCACAGTGACAAGGCTGATGAGACCAGAGCAGCACAGGGATTCTTAGCCATTACTCATTTTATCTCCTTGGCACTGACTGTCAATTTAGAGGAGAAAGACTATTAGGGCATGCTGAGCCCCCCACATCAAGCACATGAGTAGAAAACTGAACTGTTTTAAAAGAAAAATCACCATTTTATGGAATGGCAAGTTGCCAGAGATTGTTAACAGCTATAAAGATTTCATTTTTCAAAGTATCCATTTTAAAATGGATAATACATTGAATTAAACATCAGATAATATTTCGCCTCATTTTTTTCCCTTAGTAATTTCAGGGCATCTCAAATCCTTCCATGAGAATTATAGTATGATTAATAAATCTGGGAAAAAACTGGTAAAAAGGCTGGGGGAAGGTAGACAGTGTGAGGTTTCTTTAAAGAAATGAGGTGACGAGAGTACCCAGTCCTTTAGGATCATTCACAGGAAAGTTCTGAAATACTACAAATTCACAACAGAGTTGTCTTTTTCAGGAAATCAGTTAACTTTTAGGCCTCAGCAAACAGTTATGAAGACTGAGAAGTTCCCTTTTAAACCCAACCAGAAAAAAAATCAAAGCAAAACGTTAAATTAATTCTGAAATACTGATACATCTCATCTTCCCTCTGTGCTTTACTCTCAGGGGAGATCTGCTGTTTTTGTCTCAATTTTGAAATAATTTTTATTTCCCTTTCTCAAATATACTAGTCCTTCATGAATCTAACTGTCCCATATGGGGAGAGACACTATGCTAGTTCTGGCAAGAAGGCTACAAAGGCATCATCAAGGTAAATTTTATAGTTTTCAAGCATGATCACTCTGGTGGCCTTTAATAAGTCATTTCAGGGACCTTTGCCACACAGGCCTTGATTTTCACAGTGGTGAACCAATCGCTTGCATTTGCACAGGTTCATCTTAGCAAACCCAGTAACACTTTGCAAACTATTCTCAGCTTCAATATATTTCAGAATGATGCTCCTCATCACCCCTGATAGGATTCTATAGCTAGGAATGAAATGGAACAAATGCAGACATTCACTCTGGGGACATATTCCAGGAAATAGCATAATATTTCTTGGGAATGTAATTACACTGAGCACAGTCAAGCTTTACTTCCTTGTTTCAGGCTCTTAAAAGTTTTTTCATAAATAGAGCATGCTAATTCTAAATTACAAGAAAAACAATTATATGGCTGGAAGTTAAATTATAACAATAGAACAAATAACTACAAATCACAAATCTCACTAATCAAAACCCAAAACACACAGAAATCAGACTCTCAGAGTTGAGTGTTGCTCTAGACTTATCTAATTATCTAACGTTATCTAATTTAACATTCTTCCTAGTATAGAAATTCATTTTACTAAAATACCTGAGAATGAAAATCTTTTGGCACAAAGACAGTGACCATATTAGAGGGCAATAAGGGCGATTCTGTTTGAAATTTTAAAATATTGAGCAAAAATCTTAGTCCTGGTTGTTCCCTGAAGCCACTTAAATCAATTCACTCCTTGTCTCGTGTGACAGACCTTCAAATCCTAGAAGACAGACTTTTTGCTCCCATGAGTCTCTCTCCCCCTGGCAAACTGCTCATAATATGTAAAGGCTTCCTGGCCTTTTAAAAGTTGGGTCCCTTTTATCTAGATGCAGTATGGTCATCGTGAAGTGAGAATGGACTTTATTGAAATAAACGGGGTTCCTATGTGAGCGTCGTACTTGCCCAAGGCCACACAGTGAGCTACGGAGCTTATACTTAAATCCATATGAGGATAAAGGCTGAGAAATGCTAACAGTACATCCTCCAGTGAGCTGTTGTGAGGCAAAAATAAATGAATATGTGCAAATAAAACTCGCAAATAACGTTAAGTCTGGAAAACACTCATCTTTCTTAGATTAAGTTCCTAGCTATCCTGTAATACTCCAGGTGAAAAGTGAGACTATTTGTCAGTCGATATCAACCCTAATCTTCTAATGGGAACCAAAGATGAACTTGCCCCACTGTTGTTTTTTTTTAAAAACAGGTCAAACTTCTGGCTTGCATTAGGTTTGTAGTTAATTAAAATTCTGGACTACCCACATACTGTGCTGGGGAGCTTGGTCTCTGCCATTCAATATGCTTATATTTTTTGTACCTAGATGCAAGATATTTCACTTTTCCTTACAAAGTACATCCTTTCAAAATCTGAATTAAATTACCTTTCTGTTTGGTCTTACACACATATTTGATAAAGTTTCTTTTTCTGTTTTGGTCCAAATCTTCGGTAATAATGTTGAGTAGGACATGGCCAAAGACACAGCCTTCTGACAAACCTTTAGAGCCCTTTCATCAGGTTGATTTTGAACATTAATAAACTTTCGCAGCCTAAGAATGTTTAATAATCCACTCTAAATTCCTCCCATTCTGTTTACAAGGACATCGTAAGATGACCTGTCAGAAGTTTTGCTGAAATCTGGACACAGTATGTCGACTGCACTCTCTCAGCCTATTTTTAAGCTTAGGAAACAGAAAACGAGGGTGGCCTGGGCAGCAGTCAGGGACGAAGGACACAGACACACGGAAGGCATTTCTAGGCGAGGGGGTTTATGGCTTGGAATGAACTGATTACACAGGTTATGAAGACCTGGAACGCCCAAACAGGAGGTGGCAGGGTCACCTAGGCGCTAGCAACAGCAGGAAGCCACCGCAGGACAAATGGGAGAAGGAGTGCTATGCAGCCCAAGGGCTAGATCCTTGGTGGCAGATGGACCCATGGTGGGCCAAGCTCCCAGGAGCTGGATACATGAAAGAGACGTCGCCTTCGCTTACCCCATCCCTTCCCACCCCTTCCCTGCACAACCCCAGATTCTTTTTTCCTCCCATCCCATAATTTTTCTGCCAGGGTCTCCCCCTGGCTGAATCCAGGTGGAAATCAGGGGACACGGGTACCCAGGAAAGGGAGTCTGCGGCCACTTGGGATATAAGCCAGCATACAGGGCACAGAGATCCTGGGAACACACATTAGACAGGAAGTTTGTGGCGGGGGGGGAGGGGGCGGGGGGACTTCCGATAATTCCCAGTTTTCTTCTTTTTTATGAGTTCAAATATGATTAGAAGTAATTTTCAGAAGTTTCTAGGAAATAGCAGTCTATATTTTCACTTGACATCAACAGAGCCCGGGAACAGCTATGGATTTAGTACCTCTTACGTAAAAGAGTTGGACATGCCTTAGCGACTCAACAGCAAAACAAAAAACCAAAGAAGATGCCATCACTCCTAGGTGTGAGCAAGTTTTGTTACTGAGAGGCAGTTTCAAAAGGCAGGGATTCTAGAGCCAGACTTTCCATCACCAAGGACTGGCTCTGCCACCATCTAGTTCCTTTTTTCTAAACCTTTCTGTGCCTCAATTTCCCAATCTCTAGAAAGTGGATATTAATACAGTGCTTGCCTTAGCAATACTGAGGGCTTCAGCGAATAGCACATGTATAGTACTTAAGTTGGTGTCCAGCACTGAGCAAGAATAATGCACGGTGACAACCACCCCTTTGGGGGCTAATGCCATGTAGGATAAATGCTGGCTATTATTAGTAGTAATATTCGTACTGGTCTCATTAATAGCACATCATGGCCATGGCAGACCAACTGCTCCAATTTTTCATTCTAGGGTTGAACGACTCTATACCATGGGGAAAACCATATACAGCAACACTAGATTTGGGAAGATCTTAAATCAATTACCTTTCAAGAAGCATCTCTTACTAAAGATATAATCAAGCTCAGTTCCCCTTTTGGGTACAAGCATCGTTTAGTGACATCTACTTTGGGGTGTATATGTAACCTTCAGAGGGACCCAG